CTCTCTCTCTCTCTCTCTCTCTCTCTCTCTCTGTCTCTCTCTCTCTTTCTCTCTCTCTCTCTCCCTGTCCCTTTTCTATGTTTCTTGTTTTATTTCTTGAGCCATGATCTCCTGATGTTTTCAAGTTGGCCTTGAACTCACTGTGTAGCCTGGTCTGACCTGAAACTTGAAATGATTCTCCTGCCTCAGCCCTCCTGAGTGCTGGGATCATAGGCATGAGCCACCATCCCTGATTTATGCATTTTGAGATAGTCTCACTAAGTTGCCCAGGCTGGGCTTGGACTCCATATCTATCATCTATCTATCTATCTATCTATCTATATCTATATCTATATCTATATAGATATATATCTTCTTATTTATATATATATTTTTTCCTTTCTTATTTATTTATTTTATTTTTTTTGAGGCAGGGTCTCACTATGTACAGGCTGGTCTGGAACTCACTATGTAGCCCAGAGTGGCCTTGAACTCATGGCAGTCCTCCTGTCTCAGCCTCCTGGGATTATAGGTGTGTGCCACCACACCTGGCTTTGAACTTCTTATTTTTATTTTATTTCATTTTTTTGTTGTTGTATTTTTTAAATATTAATTTTATTGGTACATTTTAGGTGTACAGTATAATGACATTCATCACTGGAAATTTGTACCTTTACGTAGTCTGTCTTGGCTCTTACTTTTTTGTCCATTGCCCTGCCCTCCCTTCAATTCCTCTGCTCCTCCCTATTCACAAAGACTTTATTCCCATTTTTTCTTTCTCTCATATTAATTCCATTCCCTTCTTTCCTTTCCTCTACTCCTCCCACTTCTCCATCCCCTTTGCCCTTTTCTTCCTGTTTCACATCTATTGTACCTTTTAGTCCTTATTTACACTTTCAGTTACACCAGAGAAACTATTCAGTATTTACACATGTGTGTCCTGTTTATTTCACTGAAGAGTATCCCCTAAGGGGATGGGGATTTGGCTCAGTGGTTCTGCTGCCTGTCTCACAGCACAAGGGCCTGAGTTTGTTCCCCTGTACCAAAAAAAAAAAAAAAAAAAAAAAAAAAAAAAGTGCATCCATTTAGCTATAAATGTCTCTAATTTCTCATTCTTTATGGCTGAGTAGTACTCCATTTTATTTTTAAAAAACCCCACATTTTCTTTATACAGTCAATTAGGCTGCTTCACAGTTTTAGCTATTACAAACTGTGCCACTATGAACATGGATGCACATATATTGTGGTGGTATGATTCTATTAATTCTTTGAGGAAAATACTGAGCAGGGGAATAGCTGGGTCAGATGGGACCTCTAATCCTAGTTCTTTGAGGTATCTTCATACTGATTTCCACAGTGGTTGCACTACACTCCCACCAGCAGTGGAAAAAGTGTTTCTTTTTCCCCAGATCCCCACCAGCATTTGTTATTGGTTGATTTCTTGATAGCAGCCATTCTTTCTGGGATGAGGTGGAATCTCATTGTTTTCATTTGTATCTCACGAGTGACCAGTGATGTTGAACATTTTTTTTTATATGTTTATTTGCTATTTCTACTTCTTGGTCTGAGAAATGTCTTTTCATTTCTCAGATGCCCATTTTTGTTTTGTTTTTGAGGTTTTATTTTGGTATTGGGGATTGAACTCTGGCCCTTGCATTTGTGAGGCAGGCGACAGATCCACTGAGCTAAATCCCTGGCCCAGATGCCCATTTTTAGACTAAATTTTAAATTTGGATTAGATTTTTAGTTTTGGATTAAATTTTTAAATTTGGGAGGTCTGATTTTTTTTAAGTTCTCTATATATTCTAGATAGTAGACCTTTGTCTGAGGAACAGCTGGTAAAAATTTTTGTCTGCATTGTGAATTCTGTCTTCATGCTGTTGGTGGTTTCTCTTGCTTGTTAAGCATTTTGCAGATGCTTGTTAATAAGAAGAGATCCCACTTGTTGATTGTGCTAGTTCACATGCAACTGACGTTTGTTCATGAAATCTTTTCCTACACCTATGTCTTCAAGAGTTCTACTTAACCTCTCTTCCAGCTGGTTTAGAGTTTCTGTTTTAGTATTTAACTCTTAATCCATTTCGATTTTAGTTTAGTGCATGGTGAGGGATATAGGTCTAGTTTGAATCTTTGGCAAGTTGAAACTCAAATTTTCCAGCACACTTTATTCAAGAGGCTGTCTTTCCTCCAGTGAGAGTGTTTGGGTCTTTCGTCAAAGATGAGGTGGCTGAATGTGTCTAGAGTCATTTTTATGTCTTTTAATCCATATCATTGGTCCTCGGGTCTGTTTTTTTGCCAGTACTATGCTGTTTTTATGACAGTAGTTTTGAGGTATAGTTTCAAGTTGGGGATAGTGATGCCCCCTACCTTGTCTTTGTTGCCTAGAATTGGTTTTGCTCATCTAGGTCTTGCTCATCTAGGTCTCTTCTGGTTCCAAATGAATTTTTGGAATTTTTTTTAGTTCTGTGAAATATGCTGTTGGGATTTCAATTGGGATTGCATTGAATCTGTTTAGCAGTTTTGGAAGTATGGCCATTTTCACTGTATTAGTTCTTCCTACCTAGGAGCAAGGGATGTCTTTCCATTTTCTGATATCCTCTTCAATCTCTTTTTTCAGAGTGCTATAGCTTTCAGAGTAGAGTTCTTTCATTAGGGTGATTCCTAGGTATTTCATTTTTTGGGATGCTATTGTAAAGGGAGTTGTTTCTCCAGTTCCTTTTTTTTTGGTACCGGGGATCGAACTCATGTCGTTGCGCTTGCAAGGCAGGCCGCAGAACCACTGAGCTAAATCCCTGGCCCTCCAGTTCATTTTTCAGTGAGTCTGCTGTTCATGTACAGGAAAGCTATTGATTTTTATTGTTAACCTTATATCCAGCTACTTTGCTGAATTTGGTTATTAAGTTTAGAAGACTTTTGGTGGAGTTCTTGGGGTCTTCTATATAGAGTATCATGTCATCTGCAAATAATGACAGTTTGACTTCATTTCCTATCTTTATTTCTTTTATTTCTTTCTCTTGTTTAATTTACTGTGGCTAATATTTCCAAAACTGTATTGAACATGAGTGGTTATAGTGAACATCCTTGTCTTTTCCCTGATTTTAGTGTGAAGGATTTCAGTTTTTTTTCTTCATTTATTTAAAAAAATTTTTTTAGTACCAGGGATCGAACTCAGGACTTTGCACTTGCAAGGCAGGTGGCGGAACCACTGAGCTAAATCCCTGGCCCAGATTTCACTTTTTGACCATTTATTATGATAATTGGCAGATGGTTTTTCATAGATACCTTTTATTAAGTCGAGGTAGAGACTGTCTATTCCAGTTTTTTTTGGTACGGTTTTTATCATGAGTGAGTGTTGGATTTTGTTGAATGTATTTTCTGCATCTATTGAGATGATCATATGGCTTTTGTCCTTGGCTCTATTAATACAGTGTATTACATTTATTGATTTGTGTATGTTGAACCATCCCTGCATCCCTGGAATGAATCCCACTTGGTCAGGGTGTATGATCTTCTTGATGATCTTCTGCATTCTGTTTGCCAGTATCTTAGGGATTTTTGCATCTGTGTTCATTGGTAAGATTGGCCTATAGTTCTCTTTTTTGGTTGGGTCTTTCTCTGCTTTGGGGATCAAGGTGATGCTTGCTTCCAGGAATGAATTTGGGAGTATTGCTTCCCTTTCAATTTCATTGAAGAGTTTAAACAGTAATGGCAGTAGTTCCTCTCTAAATGTCTTGTAGAATTCGGCAGTGAAGCCATCAGGGCCTGGGCTTTTCTTTGTTATTTTTTTTTTTCTTTATTGAGGTTACTGGTACAATCTAGGTATACAATACAATTACATTCATCATTGGGATTCTGTACCTTTACATAATAGGTCTTTACATAATAGGTCTCATTTTTACCCTTGTCCCTACCCTCCCTTCACCCCCTCCTCCCCTCCCCATTTATAAACACTTTATTTCCATTTTTTCAGTTTCTCATATATTTTCCCCTCCCTTATTACCTTTCCCCCACTCTTCCCACTTTCCTTACACCTTTAGCCCTTTACTTCCTATTTCACATTATTAATTATCTCATTAGGATCCTGTGTACTACTATAGTTTTTCACACCAAAGCAACTATTTGGTATTTCAGTTAAAGAAATCTCTGTATGAACATTAAAA